ATATATATATATATATATGCTTATACACCTAAACATATATATATATATATATATATATATATATATTATATGTTATTCCTGTGCAATACGTAATAACATCATAATGCTGGCGCTTCTTCCTCTTGACTCTACGACAGATAAGAACACAAATTAATTTAACTTAATTTAATTTAGTTTAATTTAAATTAATTTGTTTTCTTCTTATCTGTCTATTAATATGATGTTTCTGCTCTCTTAAAGATAAAGAAGAAGACTAACACACGCACTTAGAGTCATTGCTTGAGTGTATGTACACCGCAAGTGCAGCAGATACAACAGCAGCAGACTCTGCTTTGAACCCAAGCCACCCCACACGGTGCCTGGGATCGTCTCCAGCCCTTTCGCTGGGCGCCTGGGATCGTCTCCAGCACTTCCGCTGCCTCGTACATAAATGAAGCAACGTGTGGGGTTGCTGGCAGCTTCTTATCATGCCTCTATTAAAATAAGTTGTTGTTCTTTCATCTAGATACACTTAAACCCTAAACCCTAAACCCTAAACCCTAAACCCTAAACCCTAAGCCCTAAGCCCTAAACCCTAAACCCTCAATGCGAACGGAAAAGTGTAGAGGAAGTCTCTCTCTCAACCCTAAACCCTAAACCCTAAACGCTAAACCCTAAACCCTAAACCCTAAACCCTAAACCCCTACTGCTGCGTATCAGTCCTAACAAATATCTTATTCAAACTCTGCCGACAGAGTTTAGGGTTTGCTGCGGCCCTGAAGGCTCTACTGCGCTCCCCGCATGCAGGAAGGTTGTAGCTGTCGATGCGGTGTATAGGCAACTCCTAATAAATAGGTGAAGCCAACACTCTCCTGCTGCTGCTGCTGCTGCTGCTGCTGCTGCTACCAGCAGCAGCAGCAGCAGCAGCAAAGGAGACCGGCGTGCACAATGCGGGTCCCCGTAAGGGGAGGAAGGTGCTGCTAGAAGAACATGTCTTGAAAGTCATTTGCTTCTTTGTCCTTCGCTGCTGCTGCTGCTGCACCTGCTGTCGCTTCCGCTCCCTGCTGCTGCTGCTGCTGCTGCTGCTGCTGCTGCTGCTGTTGCTGCTGCTGCTGCAGAGAGTTCCCCGTGTCTCCTTCTACTGAAGGGGGGAGATATGACTGCGAAAAATCCAAGAGGGCCCACTCCGGTGCCTGCTGCTGCTGCTGCTGCTGCTGTTGCTGCTGCTGCTGCTGCTGCTGCTCGCGACTGAAGTTGCTGAGTAGGAGGTCAAGCTCATCTAGTGCTGGATTTGCTGCAGCAGTTTGTCTGGCAGCGCATGCAGCAGCTTCTCTAGGCCTTAGATCGCTAGCTGCAGAGACACCTGAGCCCAAAAGAGAGACAGGCGAATCTTCATTTGCTCTCGGTGAGGCGAAGGGACTGAGAAGGTTTGCTTCTGCAGCAGGATAACTAGCAGCAGCAGCAGGAGCTGCTGCTGCTGCTGCTGCAGGGGAGGAGACAGAAGCAGCAGCTTGAGAGTCTGCCCCAGGAGAGACGTGGGGTCCTTCGCTTAGTAAATCCACCTCGGTTAAGTGCAGCAAAGGAGACAGTTGCTGCTGCTGTTGAGGTGTATCTGCTGCTGCACAGGAAAGCTGCTGGACGCTGGCTTCCTCCCATTCCCTGTCATCGTCGACCTCTGCTGCTGCTGCTGCTGCTGCTGATGCTGCAGCTGCTGCTGCAGCTTCATGCGGAAGGTAGGTAGCAGCCTCTGCGCCAAGGCCTCCCCCCTCCCCACAAGGTGAGAGCAGCACATCTCCTGCCCAAGGTCTGCTGCTGCTGCTGCTGCTGCTGCTGCTGCTGCTGCTGCTTGCTGAGCCCCCCAGCACTTTATCAAAAGGGAGAAATATATCAAATACAGCAGAGACAGGTTTGTGGTCGGACGAAAAATATCGCTGGTGATGTGTGTAAGACAAACAACGCACAGGGTAGTCGCTGCTGCTGCTGCTGCTGCTGCTGCTGCTGTTGCTGCTGCTGCTGAAGGCTTCGTTGTTAGGTTCTGCAGGCGGCACTAGACGCCCACCAAAGAGCACTCGGTCACACCTGCGCAACCGCCAAACCCTAAACCCTAAACCCTAAACCCTGAACCCTAAACCCTAAACCCTTAATGCTAAACCCTAAGCCTCAATCTTGAAGGAGAAAGGAGACGGGGTTTAGATGGTGTTTGCTTTTGTTGTGTGTCTCTGTGCACACGGGCGGGTTTAGGGTTTAGGGTTTAGAGGTTTTAGGGTTTAGGGTTTCGAGGGTTTACATAGGAAGGCGAGTGTTTAGGAAGTAAGGGAAAATACGGTGTAAGAAATACAGGTTCAGGAGTTAGGGTTTAGGGTTTAGAGGGTTTAGGGTTTCGAGGGTTTAGGGTTTCGAGGGTTTAGGGTTTAGGGTTTATATTTTATGGTTTCTAGGGTTTACTAGGGTTTCGACTTTGCATGTTTAGTGTTTCTATAGACACAGCTCGTTTAGGGGTCTGGTAGGGTGTGAAGTGTATCCTATAGAGGATGTTTAGGGTTTAGGGTTTAGGGTTTAGGGTTTAGGGTTTATACCAGGCTGGGGTCCTCTTAAGATCATAGAATTGACTATTGCGTTTATATTTATAAGTCGGCCGAAATAAAATCGGGGCTTCTCTCAAAAATGAGAAAGGCTCTACGCGGTGGCGCTGATACTGCCGCAAGTTGTCGCTGCTGCAGCAACACCAGCAGCAGCAGCAGCAGCAGCAGCAGCAGGAGAGAACATGCAGCAGCAGAGAACATCCAGCAGCAGCACTGGCAGCAGTAGCAAACAACATGCACCAGCAGCAGCAAAGAATATGCAGCAGCAGCAGCAGCAGCAGAAAAGAACATGTAGCAGCATTAGCAGCAAATAAGATGCGCCAGCAGCAGCAGCAGCAGCAGCAGCAGCAAAGAGAAGAGACTGACGCTAGTAGCCGCAGCCAGTTGCTGCTGTTGAGGGCCTCAACAACCTGCTGATGCTGCGAAGTCAAACGAAAATTAAAATCGCCGCCTATAAAAACAAAGTCGTGCTCCAGCACACAAGGGCTAGCACTAGGCCCGGCCTGCAGCACAAGCAGCAGCAGCAGCAGCAGCAGCAGCATAAGCAGCACAAGCAGCAGCAGTAGTAGCAGCAGCACAAGCAGCAGCAGCAGCAAAAGTACAAGCAAAAGTTGATGCAGCAACAGGAGTGTAAGAATAACATAAAATGAACAACATTCAGCAGCAGCAGCAACAGCAGCAGCACAAGCAGCAGTAGAGTGCATGCGCTGTTAAAAAGCACCAGACAAAGAACTCCTGCCTTTAAAGACAGCATCAGCAGCAGCATCAGCAGCAGCACCATCAGCAACAGCAGGAGGATGAAGAAGAGGAGGCAGCAGCACAAGCAGCAGCAGCAGAAGCAGCAGCTGAAGCAGCAGCAGCAGCAGCAGAAGCAGCAGCTGAAGCAGCAGCAGCAGCAGCAGAAGCAGCAGCTGAAGCAGCAGCAGCAGCAGCAGCAACCCTTCGCCCCCCCAACCGACCTGAAAAGCTTGCTGCAGCACTACTTGCATTTGCTGCAATCTGTCTACGCTGTTTGTTTGACCGGACGCGAGGTGTACATTTAAAAAACAAAGAGAGACGCCTCCAATTGACAGACGAACACCGACAGCACCCTTAGCACAAACAGCAGCAAAAAAATATATATTTATATATATTTATGTCTATATTTATTTGCTTATTTATATTTATTTGCTTATTTATACTTATAATGCATTCATGAGGTTGTTTGTTTATATGCATTTATTATTTATTTATTTATTTATTTATTTATTTATTTATTTATTTTATATATAAATAGATCTACTCACGTAGATTAAAACATATATATACCCACGTATATACGCAGGTGTATATGCATGCATGCATGCATATATATGTATGCATGCATATACACCTGGTGTGCATGCATGCATACTTAGATTGCGCATGCATGCATGCATACAGGCATTCACCCACTGAGGTGTACGTACACTCATACATGTCTGCACGCATGCATGCAGGCGTACATGCGCCTGCATGCATGCATGCATGCATGCAAGTGAATATGTTGGGGCTGTTTATTGTGTGGGGTGTTCTCACTTTGTTTCCGGCGTTGCCCTTCATCCCCACCTTCACTGTTGTAGCATCCACGTCTGCAGCAGCAGCAGCAGCAGCAGAAAGAGTAGCAGTAGCAGCAGTAGCAGCAAACAGAGCAGCAGGGGCACCACGAACAGCAGCAGTCACCACCCCAGGAGCAGCAGCAA